CCCTACACGGAGTATTTCACATCCCAGCTGAGAGCACGTGGAACAAGAGGAAGAGAAAAGCCCTCCAGGCTTTGTCAAAGAGAAACTGCTCCGTCACAGTAACACCTTGCTGGCTTGCAGCCCCCTTCCCCAGGCAACCGGAGAAGGAGCAGGAAGCTGGAGGAGGAAGGAGGAGAAAAAGGCAAAAAAAAAAAAAAAAAAAAGTAATTTAGAACAAATGAAAAAACTTACATTAAATTATTGCTTTATTTACGGGTCTATGCAAGTCTCTGACATGCTCCACCCTGCCCCCTCCTGCCCCCGAGACTCCACGTCTGTCCTCCAAACAGCACAGTAAGGAGGAGAAAGACCCAAAGGGATCCTGCCCAAAGAAGGAGCCTTCCCAAGACTTGGATCTACAGAGGAGACTCCTAGTTGAAAGAAAGTCACCAGATAAGCCAAGCCTTCAAACCCAGCAGCGTCCTTTCCCCACAAACATCTACTGTAGATGTCAAAGTGGGGGAAAGAAAAGGGAAGGAAAAGCTCCAGCCCCAATGCTTCGTGAGGTGTCCTTGCTCCAGATCCAGACCAGGTCCAAACGAGACATCTGGATATGGAGCAGTAATGGAGAGGGCCTTGAGGTGGTAGCAGGAATTAACTGAGAGATGAGTACAGGCTGGGAGGAGAGGAGTTGCGATGAGAGTTATCCAGCTCTCCATCACCACTCCCCTGGGTCCACCCTCATCGGATGCGGAGGTAAGAGGGGATGGAGTAATTGAAGAGTAAGTAGTCCATTTTGTATAAATTAAAGAGTCTCCTTTGGTAGAAGGGGCTAATATCCTGGAAGAACTGGGCTGTCATGTCATCTGTCGTCCTGGTGGTCTTGGATGAGGATGGGAACTTGACAGTAGCGTCAGCCCCGACCAGCTGGAGGATGTAGTTGGCATCTTCCACCAAGGTCTCGTACTTGCCCACTACATCGTAGTGGATGATGCAGGGGTGGCACAGTGAGTGCACCCGCTCCCAGTGCTCGTTGAAGGGCTCCTCCCGCTGTGTCCGTGGATCCAGCAGGTAGTAGACGAATTCCTCGAAGCGCACGTCGTCCCCGCGCTCCAACGCCTTGTCGCTGGGCTCCTGCCGGTGCCGTCGGATGATTTTGGTCCCATAGCGCTTGTGGAAGGCTGTGTTGTAGCTGCGGGTGAACTTATTGCGGTACGCCGAGACCAGGCGCTCAAAGGGCTCCCGCACGAAGATGAACTTGAGGTAGCTGCGCAAGCGGTGGTTGATCTCGGGGATGCTGTACTCGGAGAGGGTGCGCAGGTTGGATGAGACGTGGGCCTCATTGGCGGGGATTTCCAGCGGGTCCTGGTATTTGCCTTGCCCCGTCAGGACCATCATGACACGCTTCCAGTTAGTGCAGGCCACTTTGGGCACATAGCAGTAGAGCAGCCCATGCGTATCGTCCACCACCAAGTGCCGCAAGTCATCGGGCCTCAGGAGACGCCGTTTGCGGGTGTAACGGTTGCAGATGTTGCTCAACAGCTCGCGTCTCTGCTGGTGAACCGCCTGCAGCGATGACTGCTCAAACTGGGGACACAAAAGAGATGGTCACTGGTTTGCCCAAACCGACCGTGGCCTAGACACGACAGTCCCCATGACCGTCCTGTCCCCAGGTCGAGGCATTCACCCACATGGGATTTTGGGGACAGCATTAACTTTGAACTCAACTGGCTTTGATGTTGTTAATACTTGGACCTGCTGGGGGCAAAAGAGAGAACAAAACATGATGAGGATCAGGATAAGGAGACAAAGTCAAAGGGGACATGAATGAAGAACAGGCAGCACAGAGAGGCCCACTAACCAAATATTTGCTACAGCTCCACACCCCCGCCCCCAATTGAGTTAAAGCTCTCTCCTGTAGTTACAGCAGTCCAGGCTGAAGGCTGGCAAGGCACTTCTTCTCTTCTGCAGGGAAAAAGGGGCATGCATGGCCCCATTGCCCCACAGGGGGGACTGACATGCTCTGTTTGCTGGCATAACGGGCCTCACAATCACCCTCCCCGGGTGGGCTGCATGCACCGCTCTGCACCACAGCCAGGCACTAGCACAGCCTTACCTGGAGACCTACGCTGACAGGCTTGCTGCAAACCTAAAGCCAGAGCCAGCAGAGGCAGAAACAAGGCACGTGAGTGTGGAATGGAAAAAGGACCCATATGGGGGGGGGGGGGGGGGCCAGGAAAGGGCCCCAAGGTTGAGAGATGATATTTAACACAGCCAGTCAGATCACGGGGAGCTGGAGCTGAGGGTTGGGTTACAGTGAGGGGCACGGGATGAAGGACAGGCATGAGGTGCATCAGAGATGGTGGCATTGCCTCTTCCCCAGGGACCCTACTGCTTCTGGCTGTCGGCAACTCGGCAGTAAATGCATGGTGTGGGCAGTTACCACATGCACCGTCACGGAGCAGACAGCGCTGGAAGCGCCGGCTCACCCCACCACCCCTCACGGCTCATGCTGGCAGCCTTGCCGTGGCGCTGGACTGTGTAGGGAGCCCCTCGCCTGCCTTGGACATGCTCCTGTATTCCCTCCTGCTTCTCCAGTCGGGTTGTCGGCCAGCTGAGGAGAGCAGATGCCCAAAAGCATCCGGTTTCCTGAGGGATTTGTCTTTCCACAAAGGTCAGTCTGATGTCACAGGCCATTTGCAATCTCCCAGTTTCTGCTGCAACAGCAGGATGGAGGCAAAGAGCTCCAGCTGCTGCCCACAAGCTCCCTCTCCTGTTGTCTTCCCTGCATGGGTGGTGGCAGAGCCTTGCGCTCCTTCCCAGTTCCATCTGCTCCAGGACTGCTATGAGGCTAAAAGAATTAGATATGATGGCACCAGATTCAGATGCTGAAGCCCCCAAATTTGGGGTAAGGTAGGGGCCAAATTTCCTAAGCCAGGATGGAGGCTGAAGATGGTACAGTTCAGTGGCATCCACAGAAGGGGGGGAGGGGGTGTGCACACGCATGTGTGTGTGTGAGTTTTTTTAGTTCTTCTCCTCCTCTTCCTCTTTTTGATCCTTGCATCTAGGCTCAGCAGCTACTGATCAGCTTCCTAGGAGCTCAGATCTCCCTACTCATTCCCCAGCTGAACCCCACCCCCAGATTTGGGGAAGTGAGTTTTCCTGTCAGAAATTCTGAAACGTCATTAAAACATCTGAGAAAGGAAATCATTTCCAGGAACTCAAAACGGGAAGATGCCCTCCTCCTCCTGCCCACTCACTCATGAGTTTTGCTCACTGACACTGGGAGATGTTTCAAGCTCAGTGCCTGAGGCCCTTGCTGGGAATCTCCAAGCCTTACCTCAGTGCTAACAACCCCCAGGCCACAACTTCAGCCAACACCCTCACCACCTGTTTCCTAATTCAGGAGAACTGACCCTGTGGGGCTGTTACTTTAGAGAAAGTAATGGCCCCATGTTGTAAGCCAAAGACAGTTTCCATTTTGGGATGTGCTCCTGCAGACAGCCCCCTGGCGTCACACTGCTCCACGGAAATTCTGGCCAGCCTATTTCTGCTGCCTGCGGTTTCCTTGTTGCCCATCCGACCCCTTGGTGCCTGCGAAGCTCAGCAGAAGACTATGAGGGTGGCACCAGCCCCAGCCTTCCACATTTTGAACTGTTTTCTCTCGTTTTCAGCTCCACCACAAGCACAGACTTCTCATCCACAAATAGCATCCTTCACCAAGCCTCCCTGAGAGCTGCCTTTGTGAACCTCTCCTGTGCCAGCCCATGCTGTTTAGGGGCAGATGTTTTCAGGCCAGGCCACGAGCTAGTAAGAAAGACCTTGGCTTGCGATGGCACAAGGTGCTGCGAGTGAGAAGCACAGCTGGCTGGAAGGAGAGCTTGCAACCACAAGATGAAGGGCAAGGGCAGGCCACGTCAGAGATGCAAGGGCAGAGCTAAGCAGGGGGAGTGCAGTAAACCACCCATTTAATGCGTGCCTAGATGCTGGACACCGCAGTCACTACCCGCATTGCAACTAGTGGCTCCTTCAGTACTCATCCTCTCCGAGTACCTCTAGGAGAGAGGTAAAGTGCAGCTGGACACTTGGGTCCCTCCATCCTTGCTGCCGACAGCTGTTAGTCACTGCATGCCAAAGGACACTCTTTGCCAAGCTTCATCTGCACCCTCATTTCTCCCTGGGTGCCTGGGAGGTTTGTCAAGAGCCATCAGAGCCCAGGAAAGGTGGTGTTGCAGAGATGGGGCCTTGTAAAACAAGTGCCAGGATTTTGACTACTGAGCTCAACCTCCCATCCCATGGGTGGAGCAGACCCTTCGCTGATAGTGAGGCACTAATGTCCAGGCTGAAAGCTCCTACTGGAAAGGATCAGCCACCCTCAGACCCGTCTGGATTGCATTTCCACAGCTGAAATAACCTTGCTCAGGCCACCTTAGTGACCACGTTCTCCAGGAACCTGCATGGACAGTAACCTCCAAGAAGACCAGGAGAAGGCATCCCATCTCCACAGGGACTTCTTGACCCTTCCAAGAGGGAACTGATAAGGGAAAATGTTCAGCTGGAGCAAATCCAGATCAGTCAACTCTAACAGACAGCAGGAGATGATTCTGACAATCTTGGCTAGCTGGGAATGAGGACCCTAGTATCCAGGGATGTGAAAAATTGTGGTTGAAGGGGCATTTTCACGGTACACCTCCTTGTCAGTGGGCCAAAGCTTGGGGTATAAACTTCTCTTTCTGGGCTTTGTTTGGCAGTTCCCCTCCATCTTTTTAAATTGGAAACTTTTTTTGCAAGTTAAAAAAAAAGATATTTTAATGATGTAATTTTTTCAGGTGTTTTTTTCCTGCACTTGCATAATTCAAAACTATGAGGCTAGAGAGACAGACAGACAGACAGACAGCCACTGTCTGCAGGCATGGCAACAAATAAATGTGACTATTTTTCAACAGCCGCCCACTGGAATAAGTGTATGTCTTGCAGTTATTTCAGAGCAAAATTGCTCCCTTCATTTCCCTTCCCTTTAAAAGCCAGAGAAATTAAGCATCACTTTAAAGGAAATAACACGACAACATTCCAGCAGCATTAGGGTTTGCAGGTGTTGCGGCCAAGGAAGTCCACATTTGCCATTTTTCCCAGAGCAAATGAAATTTCTCTGCCTACAGACATAAAAGCACCACCCTAGACAGTAACACAAAGCATCACGGATGAAAAGGGGATCACGCCGGCTGTGGAGGGGGCTGCTGAGAGGCTTTCCTGCAGCACTGAGTGCATTAATTTGCAATGATAAAGAATAATATGAGGGAAAGGGGCAATGAGGAGTTAATTTCCTTTTGCAGGATGACTCTTGGGTTAACTGAAGATGAGCCTAGTGAAGACATCCCATGGACATCTCGGGTTTCTGCACATCTCCGGGCCCCTCGGCTGAGGGCGTTAGCTAAGGCTTGGGGGTCTGCCTTGCCCACCTCCGTCCCTGGGGGACACGGGCTGGAGCCTTGCCTGGGAGCAGAGGGGAGCGGCGGGACGGAAACCAGAGCCCGGGGCTGCTGCGCCGGCTGCCGGAGCTGCGCCAGCCTCGCGGAAAACCTTCCCGCGTCCCGTCCCTCCCTCCGCTGCCGGCAGCCAGGAAACCCGGGCCGCTGCCGGCGCTGGCAGGCGGCCGGGAAAGCTGGCGTGCGAGGGTGGGCCAGCCGGCTTTGCCCACTGCTGCTGGAGGGCTGCAGGGGACCGCAGCCCCTGGACGTGGGGGACGTCGCCGCGGCTTGGCCCGTTATCCCGGCTAAAGGGCTGGTTTCCCGCAGAACTACCTGACGGGAAGCTGTGGGCGAGGATCCCTCCGCACAGATAAGTCTGGCGGCCAAGGGGAAAAAAATGCAGCTGAGAACACCAACATGCCCTTTGCTGGGCTTCAACCACAAAACCCCAAACTCTCAGACAGCTGCTAACGGTAAGCGGGACGCCTTCCTCGATGCCTTCCTCGACTCCGTCTCACAGCGGGTCACAGCGATGCCAGCTCGGCTTGGCTGCCCGCCGGGGAGGGCTGCACGGGTGACTGCTCGCGTGCCTCGCGCAGGGCGTTCGCGCCGCTGGGGCTGTTGCGTTATGTGCAGCAGGCGCCCGAGCCTGCGAAGAGCACGCGAGCCGGCATCTGGCACAGCCCAGGGTGGCAGAGAGGACTGAGATGTCCCGTAACTATAATCCCTCTATGGCTGAGACCAGCTTTATCTATATAGCATGCCAACATAGGGCTCTGTCAACTATTAGCCCAGAAAGGGCAGCAATGACCTTGCTAGGACAGCCCAGAATTTGCTTCAAAATCCTCAGCAGGTGAAATCTGCATGGGTTTGCCCAGCTATAGTATTGAAACCACTTGCCCAAGGATCAGCAAGGGCCATAAGCAGTTTTTATCAACAATAATTCCCCAGAGCGGTGCAGTTTTTCTTTTGAACACAGCCAGAGGTTGGGGCCTGGCGGCTGGTTGGAAGTGGCGAGTGCCCTGCACGCTAGAAGCGGTGGAAGAAGGACTCAAATCCTGCCTCCTTTTCCGCTCCCCCATCTCCCTCTCCCCATTCGCTCACCTGGTCACTCTCGTACAGGGCCTGGAGCGGGCTGCGACCGGCCTTCCCTTGCCAGGTGGTCCTCATAACCCTGTCTTCTGTGGCTGGAAAAGGAGCAAGACAAAACAGAGGTGTTGGGAGTGCTGCTTCCCTCAACCCCTTCAGGGCTCTGGGGCTGGTCAAGAGCCAAACTCGCTGCAGGCAGCTCATCCCAGCGGGACGGCCACCGTCGGGAAAGGTGCCGCAAGCCACCCCGCGCGGCCCCGGCGGCGGTCACAGCTCCAGGCCGAGGGAGGAGGCTTGAGCCCGTCGGGGTCACTGCGCCCCCGGCACAACCGACGCGCTGTTGAGGTGCCGTGTTTCATCGTGTCACGTGTCGTTGACGTGTTAGCGGGCAAGCAAGGCAAGGCAGTCTGACCTCGGGATTTGCAGTAATGGTAAAAAGTTAAGCCACAAGCAAGTTACCCACCACCCCTTCGGGACTCACTCTCCAGAGGCGAAAAATTCCCCTTCGTAGCCCAAACGCCTACCCAGCGCTCTGCAAAGACTGCATCACGTTGCAGCCACGCAAGCCCCTGCGCAGTCATACGTGCACATTTAAACAAAGAACTTTAAAAGATATTAAAACAGATCAAAATAGATTAGATTAATAATTGTGTTATTAAGATGCAAAAATCTCTATCTCTGTTCTCACTAATCTATGACCTGCTGAAAGTTTGGAGGTGTTTTAATTTTTTTTTGCAGCACAGATGCTGCTTTTCCATTGCCATTTCTATCACTCACCCAATTTGAATGGCGTGAAATCTGATCTGTTTGATTTGAGGCCTGCAAAAAAGCTGAACAATTACACTTACTTATTCCCAAATGCTATCCAAATGTTAAGTGGACTGCAGATGCTTCACACGCTGGGTTTTAGTCAAAAGAAAGGATTTATTTCTACGAAATTAAAAATTACAGACCCCAGCACAAAAATTCTCTTATACAGGCCTTCAATAAAAAAAAAAAATTGCTCCTCTCTCTT